TGTGAATACATCTCATATTAATGGGTTTTATCCACTTTTAGCAAATAATATTTTATTAAAGTATATTGTTTACATTCACTCACGCGTTTAACTACCCTTATTCTGAGCCTAATCCATTTTACCTAATCACTTGTGGGATCACCCTGTACAATACTGTATAACTTGCCAGATTTCTTGCCGATAGTTCGATCTTATTACTTTTTTCTGAATGCTATATATACATTTATATATTTTTTTCGATATATTTTGACATCATCTAACCTAAAAAATAGACGTAATCGTATCTGCCCTTGAGTCCCACGGTATCACACACTCTCTTCCTGCTTCTTGGTGTCCCAGTGTATTTCGTAAGGCTCATCTGTGCTGTTTCGCAAGTATAGTGGAAGCCTATGATGCCGTGCTCAGAGACAAGGTGAGAAAGCCACGTTGAAATGCTGATATTACGATTTCTTTCTTCGATCAGATCGTATATTTTATTTTCGAGTATTTTTCTTATTGTATTTGTCGCTTATTTCACTCAGGGGTCAGCAACAAGTAGTTGGGATCACTTTTTATTGGTTGCTTCATTTAAATAATTAGACGAATTAGTAAGCCTAATAAACTTGTTTAACGTAATTAAGAAGTTTAGCCGCCTCAAAATCATAATTAAAACGAATGGTTTAAATGCAACCATAATCATATATATATATGTAATCGTCCCAAGGTTTGTATTATGAAACGCATTAGTTTTTTTAATTATTTAGTGTCCCATCTATTATACTTAGTGTTTTATCTCACTAAGGGATTTGTTTGGCAAAGTCTTGATTATCAATGTTGTTGTTTACTGTACTTTTTTGCTCATACTTTATTTGAATGGATCCAGATTCAGATTCCTTATTTGGATGACATATGCAGTATAAAGGAGTCGGAACAAATTGATTTTTATTTTTCATACACCACTTCAACTTCCGAAATCCTTATGATCGTACGATTGTTCTTTATTTAGGAAACAACGTAACTCTTATAATTACACTTTGTATCCTTGTTTTAGGATCCATTTTGGCGGCGTTTTGAAGTAAAGTCTCGAATCCTGTCTGCAATGATTCTTGTATCTGATGACTTTCTTGAAATCATTGATCAGATGCATCCCAAATCAAGGTCAGTTTTTCTCTTGACTGTTTTGACTAAGAAAATATTTAATCCAACAAATGGCGCCGTTCACTTGGTATTAAGCGCATAATTTTTATAAGCTTTGCCAACTTCATAAAAGGTTAGGGTTATTCCCTTTATCCGCTTGATATGGTCTGATGTCTTTAATAAGGCCTTAAAATGTACTGGAGTTGTTTTTGATAGTTTCCTTGTGTTTTTATTTGGTGCCATTCTATTTCGATTCGACTGTGATCTAACATGGATTATGTTATTTCCTTCCGCACGTTTTCATTCACTTTAAAGATTAATTGGACTTCTATTCTTTTTTAGATTTGCTATTCGATAAAATTTTGTTGTACAATATTCTTGGTATTGTGCATGCTTAAACACATCTTGATAATTCTTTGCACGGTTGGTATGGGTTGATCTCACTGTTAAGTTTGTTTTTTCTTATTCCTTGAACCCATTGTTTCTATGGTTCTATCATGCTCGGTTAGCTTACCCACTCCTTGTATTTATCGTTAAATTCAAATGGCCAATTTGGTTTTATTTACAGATTTGTCCCAAGTTTATTTTTTTTATTATATGCGCCCTCATATTCTCTAGTTTCGCAAATAAACTTTTCCAGTCTATGATTTCTGTAAATCTGTCAAACCTTAATTTGGTTCAAAAATTTAAATAAAATATTTAGATGTTCTTTTTCTTATAAAATAAGCTCTCCTCCATTTAATCTTTGGATCGCCTATTGAGAACGGCATTCCTGTTCTTTTATATATTTAGCCATCTTACCTAATCTTGCACTTTCGTCAAATCTTACATTAATTTTCTCCCCAACAGGCTGCGGCTAAATATTATATTCGATCATTTCTCATAATTTGGGAAATTCGTAAAGGTAGATGTGATAATTAGAAGAATGGCGAATTTTCGTAA